CCCCCTTTTCCCTATATGTACTAGAATTAAATTTTTCTAAATTAATGATGGAATACAAAACATTTTGTTATTTATTTACACTAAGAAGAAGGTAGCACTTAATTTACTCAGATTTAAAGTTCATATTTGAATCTACTTTTGGAAGCTACCATCTCTTTTCCTTCACTCTGTCTTAAAAAGAATTCTACTCAGACTAAACATCTGAACAGAAATAATAACCTATGCCTTTTTCAGGTCCTCAAAGTTACCTTGATCATGAGGATAGTAAAAGAAAAATAACTGTGACTAATAAAACAGCCAGGGTAGACAGCACCTAAAACTGGAGCAGTCTGAATTCTGGGAGTGTGATGAGGGTGGGAGGTGCAGGCACTGGAAGAGATGCCCTCACACTATGTAGGGTATCTGAGTGCAGATCTGATGCTGAAAACTCTGGCATGCTCAAGTAAAGAACAGAATCATACACTCAAGAAATTTGATGGGTAATTTAAAATGATAATATTGGCTAGCATTTGTGGAATGCTTACTATGTTCTTGGTACTCAGATTTAAGCACCTTACATATATTAATTTATTAAATCCTCACAACTCCATGAGACAGGTACTATGTTAACATCATTTTACAGATAAGGACATTGATGCACACAGAAGTTAAGTCAGTTCCCAATGTCATACTATATAAACATTTAAAACATTAAAAATTCTACATGTTGCCCTGGCCGGTTTGGCTCAGCGGCTGGAGCGTCGGCCTGCGGTACAGAGAGACCCGGGTTCGATTCCCGCTAAGGGCACGTACCTCGGTTGCAGTTTGTCCCCGGCCCTGGTTGGTCGTGCGGGTGGCAGCCACTTGATGTGTCCCTTCACGTCGATGTTTCTCTCGCTCTCTCCCTCCCGCTCTATCTGAACAAAAAATGGAAAAATGTCCTCGGGTGAGGATAAAAAAATAAATAAATAAATAAAATAAAAATTCTACATGTAAAAAAGTTTACTTTTTGAGATATTCTAAACTGCACTCACAGTATGATTTCAATTATATAATTTTACAAAACTCTTCTAAAAGGTTGCCAAAATCAATCACGGAGAAGCCATACTGTGAGGTAATATAATTTAATTTGGGAGACTTTTGCCTACTGTGATGTAGTTCTACATAATCTGAGAAGGGTGTAAGTCAGAGAATTTGGAATATTTTAGATAAGAGAACCATCTGGGTCTAAAGCAGTACTCCAGACAGAATTTCAGAACCTACTAGAACAAAAAGGAAGTGCTGTGGGAGGTTTAATGACATCTACTGACATGTGTCAGGATAAGGAACATATTAGCACAATAACACTTTTGTGCTACCAGTGCTATAAGAAAAAAATAGCATGTGATAACAAGGAAACAGAAATGTTCTCCTTTTTGCTACAGGAACTCTGGCTTCTCGTCTGCCCCACAGAAGTTAAGATAGAGCTTTAAAGAGTATAATGGAATAATCTGAGATACTTCTCATTATGTATTATCATTCTTACAGTGCTCACTGCCCCTGTCTCGAGATCTTAATATTTGCCCACTGAATGACTCTTGCTTCCTTCACTCATTCAGTGTATCAGTATAATGACCTGGATCTGGTCTGTATTGCTCCTCATTACTATTTGTAGAATAATATAAAATTGAAGTCCTAATAATGTAATGAAAACACAACAGCACCACTTTTAAATGACTACATAGGCAACTTCAGAATTTCATCTGTATGAAGTCCCAGACTTAATATGTACTTACAACCAAATGCATTGAGAAATCATGACATTGTCTTCTTCATAAGATAAAGACATCTTCTTTCATTTTATATATATATATATATATATATATATATATATATATATATATATTTTGTTCAGATAGAGAGGGAGGGAGAGAGAGGAAGAGAGAGAGAGAGAGACATCGACATGAAGGGACACATCAAGTGGCTGCCACCCGCACAACCAACCAGGGCCGGGGACAAACTGCAACCGAGGTACGTGCCCTTAGCGGGAACCGAACCCGGGTCTCTCTGTACCGCAGGCCGACGCTCCAACCGCTGAGCCAGACCGGCCAGGGCTATATATATTTTTTAATTCAGAATATCACGAGGGAGATTTAAATCCCTGGAGTGCTCCTTAGGAAAACACTAACAAAATCTTCCTAAAGTATTCCCCTAAGAACCAACACACTAAAGAATATTCAGTTACTTCTTTTATCTGTGAAAGTGAAAATGCACAAATATTGTATGAGTGCTTAATCAATAAAAAAAAATTATTTTAGTACATCAAATAAATGTATTTTTATATTTTACACTAGTTTAAATTGTTAAGATTGAAGGGCGGCAAGAATGGGCCTTGCTTTGACATTTTACTGCTGTTTTTGATCCACAGTCATCTCAGCAGGTTTTACTGTTACTGTGTATAAAAACTGAAGTATAAAGATAACTTACTGGCCCTGGCCGGTTTGGCTCAGCAGTTAGAACATAGGCCTATGGTCCAGAGAGACCCAGGTTCAGTTCCAGCTAGGGGCGCGTACCTCGGTTGCAGTTTGTCCCTGGCCCTGGCTGGTAGTGCGGGTGGCAGCCACTCGATGTGTCCCTTTCACGTCGATGTTTCTCTCTCTCTCTCTCTCCCTCCCACTCTACCCACTCTATCTGAACAAGAAAATCGAAAAATGTCCTCGGGTGAGGATTTAAAAAAAAAAGATAACTTACTGAATGAAAGCAAATAACCAATTATCCACTAATTAATATTGCTCCTGAATAATCAAATGGGAAGTAGATAGAAAAGAACTTTGGTCTTATCAGAAAGTCTTATTTTTCTAATTTCTAATAATTATGGCTTCTTAGCTAGATGTTTATCTTTAGATTTCTAAGAATATCATAAGACATCCCAGTTATGAAAATTAACTGACCCCTTCAAATTTTTAATAAATATCATTTGGTCTTTCATGAGTAAAATACAGACTAGCTATCAGATTTCAGACACAGGTTTCATTCTTTAAAAAATAAAACTAAGAAACTGGAGAATAGAAATAATCATTACCAGGTAAACATCATCATTAAATTTTAAAGGCAAAGTATAAATAAAGCATCTCTATCCTTAACCCCAATGTCTCTCTCACACTGCTATTTCTCCTCCTTTGCCCCTCTCTCTATTCCACTCTAACTAAAAATGGATGGAAAAATATCCTAGGATGAGGATTAACAATTAATTAATTAATTAATTGGAGACAGATACCCTGGCAGGTGTTGCTCAGTAGTTAAGAGTGCTGGCCCTCTCACCCAAGGGTCACAGGTTTGATTCCCTGTCAAGGGCATGTACCTGGGTTGCAAGTTTAATCCTCAGCCTCAGTTGGGGAGCATGCAGGAGGTAACCAATCAATGTGTCTCTCTCACATCAATGTTTCTCTCTTTCTCCCTCCTCTCCTTCCATTCCATTCGCTCTAAAAATCAATGGAAAAAATATTCTCAGGAGAGGATAAATAAATAAAATGGAGACACTGACTATTATCACAAAAGTGATATCATAGGTGAACAAAGCATTTAAAGCTGCAAAAAATTTTAAATGCAAAAGATTATTATAAATATGGCCCTGGCCAGTTTGGCTCAGCGGTTAGAGCGTCCGCCTGCGGTTCGGAGAGACCCGGGTTCGGTTCCCGCTAAGGGCATGTACCTTGGTTGCAGTTTGTCCCCGGCCCTGGTTGGTCGTGCGGGTGGCAGCCACTCGATGTGTCCCTTTCACACCGATGTTTCCCTCTCTCTCTCTTCCTCTCTCTCCCTCCCACTCTGTCTGTACAAAAAATGGAAAAAATGTCCTCGGGTGAGGATTTAAAAAAAAAAAAAAAGATTATTATAAATATGAATAGTTTTATGATAGTATATTATTGATTAACTCAATCCAAAATTCATACAGCTTTTACATATCAAACAATAGTGGAACAGTTTGTCTACGTAAGTCAGTTTGATCCTATTTGTTATTGGTAATGAAAGTGAGTATATTTTAACTTTCGATTCCAAATAAAGACAAAGCAATATATGTATAATATAGATGTGTTTGTACTTAAAATGTTTCACATAACTACAATAATTTTTTACAAATTCAACTAGCATTAGATTTCTTACTTGAAATAAGAAATTGGAATTTCTCTTTCCATCCTGAAAAATCAGCTGAAAGCAGCATAAAGAATGAGAAAAACAAACCCCATTTTTGGAAATATTAGGAGACAAACCTTAAAATGAGTAAACAGGCTGTCAAAAGCAATAAAGATAGAGTAGATCTGCATGCTGTAGGCAGCAGAGGGAGGATGTTGCCTTTGCAGATGTCAAAAAACACAGTACACTTTTTTTTTTTCTTTATTGATTTTAGAGAGAGAGGAAAGGAGAGGGAGAGAGAGAAACATCTATGAGAGAAAACATCGATTGGCTGCCTCCTGCATGCCCCCCCACTGGGGATCGGGCCCACAACCTGGGCATGCGCCCTGTCTGGGAATCGAAGCAGCAACCTCTTGGTGCATAGGTGGTTGCTCAACCACTGAGCCACACCCGCTGGGCAAAGTACACTTCTTGAAGGTGATGGGCACACCCTAAGTTATAAATCCTCTGTTATAGCAGTAGAAACAAGGTGCATTGGCTGACAGCCAGAGCTCTCATGGATGTGGTAGGGTTCCAAGAAGATGGGGACACTGCTAAATAAGGAATCACATAGACAAACTATTTGCAAAGAGAGAAGTCTTTCTCTGTGGATATGGCTGGAAAGAGACTATCACCATGGACTGGGGCAAAATAAAGGAGGCAAACAACAGAAAAATTTAACAGCCATAAAAAAACATTCGCAAGCAAAATATTCCTATAGAACAAATGAAAATCATGACAAATACTTCACCATTAATTAATAAAAATAATTATTCAATCAGCTCTAACTTGAGATTTATAGAAAATATATAATCATAAAATTTTATTGACTACAAAGGTAACAACTAAACTTAGTATAATTAATCACTCACCTCTGAATCATATTTTATTTTTTCTTCTTCTAAAATACGTGCAAATTCTTCTTTCTGGTGTGCAAATTCTGATTTAAGAAATGTATATTCATAGCGAAGCTTATTATATTCAGCTCTATACTTTTCAACTTCCTAAATTAAAAGGAGACTGCAATTTATCACAAATTTATAAATGCAATTTGTATTCACTCCAAAAATTACTTTTGTAAATATAATTTTAAATTACATTATATTCAGAGCAATTCTAAAGTTAAAAAATAAGCTTAAGAGAAGTATAAATAAAACAGAAAAGTTCTGATAACATGTATGCTACACACAGAATTAGTACATTCTGGGAAGGCACCAATAAAGCCATTCACTTAACCTTATTTCCTCACTGATTCAAATAATAAAAAATAATGTATATATCAGTCAAAAGTTTTGACCTCTGGACTTGCCTTTTAAATAAAATAATATTTAAAAATGTAACATATCTTTCAAAGTATAGATTAAAAATTAATTTTATGATAAAACATACCCCTAAAAGTCAGACAGAATGAATTCAAAGTAGATTAAAGATTATTTGGATATTTAGTGTAATAACTTAAGGGTCAATCAAATATTACATTGATAATTAAACTCAACACATCAGTCTGAGGAATATAAGTAGTAGCAACTCTTCTTACTAACCAGGAACACATGCAATTCCCTGTAGGCCAACTCCGCTTCCTAACACAATGAAAGTTGCTGGCATTCTGAATCTCAATAAGAACTTAGACAATATAACCAAAAGATGAGAAGACACTATTTCAATGGATACCAGGAAACCAAGTATTAAGGAAGCCTCCTAAAATTCTGAGTTCCCTGGAAATCTTCAGGTGAAAGAATTCTCTTCTAAGCCAGTTTACAAATAAGGAAATGGGTTCTGTGATTTTAGTAGAGACATATCTTGTTTTGATATTTTTAAAAAATGCTTTCACCTAACTTGATCACTCACCTTAGGTCTAAATGATTTTGTTTATATCCAAAAATTAAACCTACTCCTGGATCATGATGCTTTGATTATCCTTTAGGAGACTATTCAAAATGTGACTTTATTAAGCCAGTAAGCCATTTATAAAACAGGATCCACAACTGTTTTGTGCAATGGCAACATCACTAGACTACAGCTTGCCCCAAAGGGGTCCATTCTAAAGGGGACAACACTCATTTGTATGTATAAGTCTCAGTATATTTGTTAAATAAGGTAACACAGTCTAGTGCAGTACCTAATATATGTAGTATCTATCATCTTTTCCTGTCTCCTTTATTAAACATTTAGTCATATTATATCAAGATTTCATATAAGAAGCCTGATCACAATCTGAAGGAAACTGTATCAGATTTTTACTTTTCTGCCGTGGCCAATTCGGCTCAGCAGTTAAGAGTGTTGGTCTGCAGCCCAAAGGGTCACGGGTTCTACTGCTGGTCAAGGGCACGAACCTGGATTACAGGTTCCATCCCCTGCCCCAGTCAGGATTGTGCAGGAGGCAACCAATGTCTCTCTCACATCAGTGTTTTTCTCTCTCTCCCTCCCTCCCTTCCATTCTATCTAGAAAATCAATGGAAAAATATACTTGGGTAAGCATTAAAAAAATTATTTTTGCCAGGCTGGTGTGGCTCAATGGTTGAGTGTCGACCTATGCTCCAAGAGGTTACTGGTTTGATTCCCAGTCAGGGAACATGCCTGGGTTTGGGGCTCGATCCTCAGCAGAAAGCATGAAGGAGGCAGTCAACTGATATTGACGCTTCTCTCATCAATGTTTCTCTCTCTCCCTCTACCTTCCTCTCTAAAAAAAAATCAATAAAAACATTTAAAAAACATTTTTTTTAACTTTTCTGAGGTTGCATGAAATTCATCCTTTCATCCAACAAATATGAATTGAGCATCTACTGTATACTAGGACCTGTTCTAGGAACTCAGAATATAACAATGAGCAAAACACATAAGGTTCCTCCTCTCATACAACTTACCTTCCTAGAGGTGGTAAAAGAGAACATAAAAAAATAAGCACAATGAATATTATACAGCATATCAGAAAATGGTAAGTACTAGAGAAAATGAAAATGTAGAGCAGGGTAAATGCGGATCCAAAGGTCTAACGAGTGATGGAAAAGCCAAGTTGCAATATTAAATGGGGGCGGGGTTAGTCAAAGTAGGCCTCATTTAGAAAGTGATGTTGAGACGTTGGCCAAGAGATATCTGGAAGGAGAGTGTGCAAGGCAAAAGCAACAGCTAAAGCAAAGACTCGTGAATTGTACCATTTTGGGAATGTCAAAGAAACATCAAGGAGGTCAGTATGGATGGAGAAAAGGAAATCAGAGAGGTAATGGGGTCTGATCCTGTGCAACCTTAAAGACCACTGTAAGGACTAAGAAGGGGAGCTATTGCAGGACTTCTGAGTAGTGGAATAACACTTTTCATCAAGCTTTTCAGTCACAGGAAAATATGCATAGTTCTTTCTGCATAAATTACTTACTTCATCTAGACTCTTAAAACGCTCTCTCATTGGAGCTTCTAATTCTTGTTGTATTTGAGCTCTTAACAATTCCAGGTTCTGTGGAGTTAATACCTAACATGCAGAGAAATACAAACAATTCTAAATATGAAGTCACAATATTAAAATCAAAAATTTTCCAAATTTCAAAGCCTCTCTCCTAATTATGACAATAAAATGCAATTCGTAGAAATTTTACAATATACCTAATTTTAGAGAACTCACTATATAAATAGAACCATCATCTGAAACGATAAGTTAAAAATCTCAATTTCAGGCTCTCAGAGATGTTGAAAATTCTATTAACATGAGGTAAAGACAGTCATTAATTATTATCATTGTGATTATTAGAAATAACTATGTTGGCAGCTAAGGTTATCATATTGGATACAATGGCTGATAGTCTATTTTCTAAAGCAAAAAATAAATAAAGGTGACTAGCCAGTGTGGCTCACTGGCTGAGCGTCGGCCCATGCACCAAGAGGTTGCCAGCTCGATTCCTGGTCAGGGCACATGCCCAGATTATGGGCCAAGTCTCTAGTGGGGCGCATGCAGGGGGCAGCCAATAGATGTTCTCTCTCATCGATGTTTCTCTCTCTCCCTCTCCATTCTCTCTAAAAATAAAGAACAATAAATTCAAAAAATAAATAAGTAAATAAATAAATAAATAAAGGTGTACTAATTATTTGGTATACCATACAGAATTCTTCAGACTTATTTTTAATCAGAAAAGGCTGATTTTTATTTTTATCGCCAAAGCTAATTTAGGTTCCTCCCTGTTTTACTACTGCACAAAACTTATCTTTGAAAGAGTAGTTAAATATTTTAGTAAGCTCCTTAAGGGCACACACAGTCTTTATTCACCATGGTATTCCCAACACCTCTCACTACCATCTGGCACACAGGAAACACTCTATTATTATTTCTTGAGTGAACAAATATTGGTTGTAAAAAATAAAAAACCTAGTTTGCTTCTATATTAATTTCTGAACACTGAGAATAATGTTCCATTTCATTCATTCATTCATCAATATCCAAATTTCCAAACATTTTACTGAATGCCTACTATACATAAAAAGCATTGTAAAACATATTATCTATATAGCATACTATTTTAAATACCTTACATGCACTAACTTCTTTAATCCCTACCACTATTCACAATGTAGCTACATTATCATTCCCTTCTTACAAAAATTGAAGCACACAGAGTCTAACTTGCTAAAGATCACAAAAATTCACAGGAAGCATCTTTCTCCCCATAAAAAATTCATACTCACATGCAAAATAATTTAAACATACAAATAAGTTTAAAAAGAGGCTTTATAAGCTTACTAGACAGGTAAAACAAACAGAAAAGATATTTAGGATAGAATGAATGCCATATCAAAGGGATGGGCAAACTAAAGCTTAGGTAGAACCCCAATCTAAAGAATGGATAAAATTTTAAATTCTCTGGGGAGAAAAATTTTCCTCAAAAATGAGCTGAAGCATTTTGGATAAGACCACACTAAGCACTATAGGAAATTTAGAATCCTGGGTCCTTGTGCTGCTAGCAATCTCTAGACACTAAAACAACCAAGGCCAAATGACAGATTCACAAATGTCACCCAGGAGGCCTGCATCCCGGCTGAGAACAAATGGGACAGAGATGGGTGTCACAAAGTGGAAGGTTCCTGAATACCAGGTTCATACTCAAGAAATTTATTTAGCATTCAATAGTATTAACTTTTTTTAAATGTTTTTACTGAAAATGAATAAATATAATTACATAAAGAAAATAATTCAAACAAAATAAATAATAAAAAACTAAACCTCTTCTCACTTTAGTCATCATGTTTTCCTCTCAGGAAGCAAGAACTATTAGCAATTTCTTGTGCCTCCTTCTTAAAACAATCTGTAGATATTTAAGCATAGATACCACTTTTGATATTTACATAAAGAAAAGCATACTTTTGTACCATGCTTATTCATTGAAGACTTCTAAGCTTAAGAATGGTATCACCATATATATATTTTAGGAAGAAGCCAGATGGATCAAAAGCTTTGGTGGAAGACAACTGGTGCTGCAGGAAGGAGGCAGTAAATGGGGCTAGAGAAACCAGACAAAAACCTCCTGTTAAAACCTGGTTTATGATATCAAGAATCTGGATCAAGAGTCCAAACTGAGGAGGGGTGGTAATTAAAAAGAAAAGATTAATGGGTAAACTTTATTTTGATCCTGTTTCAAATAAACCAACTTTAAAAATAAACAAGCACCATGACCAGTTTGGCTCAGTGGTTGGAGCGTTGGCCTGCAGACCAAAGAGTCTCGGGTTTGATTCAGGTCAAGAGCATGTACCTCGGTTGCGGTTCGCCCCACTCCCTGGTCAGGGTCATGCAGGAGGCAACCAGTCGATGTGTCCCTCTCACTTTGATGTTTCTCTCTCTCTCTCACTCTCTCTCCCACTCCATCTGAAGATAAATGGAAAAATATCCTAGGGTAAGGATTAAAAAATAAGCAAACAAGCAAGCAAACAAAACCGAGAAATCCGAACAAAGGTATAAGATTAAAATATTATTCCTGTCCGACTGGTGTGGCTCAGTGGTTGAGCTTCAACCCATGCACCAAGAGGTCACTGGTTCAATTCCCAGTCAGGACACATGCCTGGGTTTTAGGCCCAATACCCAGTGTGGTGCATGCAGGAGACAGCCAATTGATGTTCTCTCTCATTGATGTTTCTCTCTCTCTCTCCCTCTCATTTCCTCTCTCTGTGAAATCAATAAAAGGGAAAAAAAATTAAAAATAAAAATATTATTCCTTATATACTTTTAATTATGGTGCTGCTATTGTGGCAATGCTTTTACAAGAGAGACTGCCTTGTATATAATAGAGATCTATGATACCAAACAGAAAGAGTTCATCTACCCAGCACTGGCAGAGCCAAACTAAACACTGAGAATTATAGTGGAGAAAGACTGGCTACTGGTGCCACCCAGGAGAATGTGAAGCTAACGCTCAAAAGCCTGAACTCCTTCATGGTTTATAAACAGAGGGTTTTATAAAGTAAAAATCACTAGTCATCATGAGTAAGGGGCTTGGGGTCATTGGTCTTGGTGATTGATCAAGAGTGAGGTAAGGATAGTAAATAATTATTCCAGGTCTTGAGGTAAGACGTCCGTCTTTCAGTCTGGTTTCATGAGGATGTGTCCAAGAGGGACTGTTGGGTTTTAGGGCTCAAGAGCTGAAACACAACTAAGCTCTGTGACCCTTAGGCAAGGCAGGCATTGTTTCTGGCTGCCTCAAGGACTTAATGACTAGTAAGGGAAAGGGCTGAGGCTTACAGGGCATGTTGTGAAACTGAATAAAGGGCTAGGACTACATATTAAGTCTGGACCCTGGGGTTTCAGTTCATCATTTGCTTTGTGGGCAGAAAAATATCTTAACAATGCATGTTACTAGGTTATCTTGAATGTGCAGGGGCAGAAACTATGTATCTTGTGACTCTTACTCATTGTGTGCTATTACTATTTCTGCTCTCTTGGTTATTCCCCTACCCATACTGCCCCTGCCCCCTGCACTGTCTAACAGGCACTAGAGTTAAGCAATTTCCACAACGGTTAACAGGGTGCTAAGCGACTGCCTTCTTAAAGCCACTTAGTCCAAACTAGCACACAAAACCTTTCTTTTTTTAATTAAAGATATTGTCTAAGGGGTCTTAACTCCTCGGTTTCATATATACTAAAATATATAGGTCTGAAATAATATGATTTGCTTCAAAATAATATGGAGGGGTTGAGGGAGAAAGCTGAGGGTGAGTCGGGGCGGGGATTTAGAAGATAAAAGAAGACTGGCTCAGAGATAGTAATTATTAATGCTGAGTAATGAGTACATGGGATGCATCACAAAATATACTCTCTCTAAAGAAAGTCCTTACGTGATGTCATCAATAGGTTCTTGGAAACTGTGACTTTATGCAAAATAACGTTTAACAAAACCAATTTTACCACCCTGGCTGGTCTGGCTCAGTGGTTACAGCATCAGCCCACTGACCAAAGAGTCTCAGGTTTGATTTTGGTCAAGGGCACGTACCTTGGTTGAGGTTCACCCCTGGTCCTGGTCGTGGTCATGCTGGAGGCAACCAGTCGATGTGTTTCTTTCACATCAATGCCCCCCGCCCCTCCATCTGAAGATTAATGGAAAAATATCCTCAGGTGAGGATTTAAAAACAAACAATTTTACCAAAGGTTAATTAATATAAACAAAAGTTAAGTCCCTACAGTGTATTTTTTATCACAAAGGATCGTCAAACTTCTAAATAAAGACCCCAAAAACTTCTAATATTAAACAGTGAAATAATGTGAGCTATACATACATTTAAGACACATGTATAAAAACAAAATAATAATTTTCCAACCCACTTATTCCAGTTCAGGGTCGCAGGTGGCTGAAGCCTATTGCAGGGCACACTCACACACACCCACACTCACTCAGACGGGGACAATTTAGATACACCAATTAATCTCACATGTACATCTCTGGGATGTGGGAGAAAACAGGAGTACTCTAGGGAAACCCACAGCCATTGAGAGAAGGTGAAAACTCCACACAGACAGTGGCCTCAGCAAGAAATCTATTATTTTTCTCATCAAGGTTAAACAAAATAATGTTCATTATTCAAGAACCTTTGTACTTTTCTACTTGTTTGCTTATTTCCATAATTAAAAGTTAACATAAAAGTGTTTCCACTTCATACATATGGCATAACAGAGACTGTATATACTCCCTGCCTGAAAAAATAAAAGAATAGACAAAATCAAACAATGGTTTTCCAGGCAATGGACAAAGATCCCTGAAAGACAAAAACCAATAAAGGCGATTTTTGCGAAAGCTTCCAAGTCATGGCACAGGAAGGATACCCAGGCAAAGTCTGATGGACTCCCTGATATGAGGAGATGGAACTGAGAATCCAGGGAGACTCATGTGGCTAGTCATAAGACTGGGTAGCAGAGAGGAGTGTGGCACAGAAAGAAAATCATGAAGATCTGCAAAAGCTCCCTCTCAACTCATTCAGTAGAGTACTGATCAGCACATG